TGGGTCGGATGCCACGGGAAAGGTTGGGGAGCCAGGGGAGGAATCACAGCCACGCATCCCCCGCTCCCAGCTCCTAGTTATTCTAGTCTTCAGGCTTTAAATCTTTCACTTCTCCCTGCTCAAATAAACAACCTGGCATTTTTATAAAATGTGGTTTGAAACACATATTTCAGCCAAGTGAGCCAAATAAATAAACACTGGTCTTGTCAGCCTCTCTTATTTAGTGGGTGCACCCTCGCGGTTCCGTCTGCGCACCCGGGAGCTGCCATAAATCTGTGGACTTGACCTGCCTCAAATGCTTCAAGACTCTGGTGGGGAATCCTTTGTGCTGGAAAATGAGGGGAAACACTGCAGGAGACAAGAGCAGGGGTGAGAGAGAAGTTTGGTGAATGGATTTGCAGCTTTCAGGAGGGTCCCCACCACGACGGCGCTGGGGACGGCTCCCACAGAGAGAGAATGGCTGTTCCACCCCAGCTTAAAATGCCCTCATTTCCCTGAAATAAGAGCAGCATCCTCTGAAATGGATGTGTTTGAACTGGACACAGTGTGTGATCATGAAACAAACTGCTGAAGAAACCTTCCTGGCTGATGCAGCAGTGCTGAACACGCTGCTGGTCCCCAGACCCAGGGCAGAGGGGTGGAATCGTGGGCAGGACGGCCTGTGTGACACACAAGGGAATTCTCTGGCCATTCTTTTACTTTCACTGTTTGGAAGTCAGACCCCGGCTTCATGAACTGCACCAAGTTGAAGCTATAAAACAGCATGGGGTTTTTTTATATATGTATTTATAGCTGCAACACCATATTGCTATTCTAGGCACCACCACACTCGCTCCTGCTCTGACTGACTTGAGCCCAGCTGAACTGGACTGCAACCTTTCCCCAGCCTTCAGAGAGGTGTGGATGAGCTATACCCTGACAGGATTAAAGCTGAATTATTCTCCTGAGCTGCCCAGCTTCACTGAGCCCTTCAGGCTTTAACACTCAATCAAGTGGTATCAGCACTTTGCATGCAAGGAGACATTTTCTCAAAGACACCCATCAGTAGATATCAAATTTAAAAAAAAGAATCTTAGACCAGCAGTCATAAGAAACTCTCACCCGATGTGATTTGTTCTTAAAGAAATTTCCAGTTCTCGGAGCACTTGAGTAGATTCTTGAACTCTTCTCCTGAATTTCTGCAATTGAGTGAGCAAGCAGAATGAACAATTAGGCCCCTGCGATACCATTAAAAATATCAGCATTTCACGCAGCGCAGATTGAATAAATAAAACATGAAGGTAAACTGAGAACCCCTCTTAATCCTGAGGAATGCCACAAAGAGTCCAGCAGTCAACAAAAACATGCGCAGAAAAATAACTTCTCGTGCACATTTTTGAGTTTCCAGGATTAAGAAAATTAAATGCCTGTAGACAAACATTTCTTTATAGGACAAGCTTTGTTTCAGGATCAAACTCTCCATTGAGAACTACAGCACTTGGGCTTCACTCTCAGCCTGGTGCTTTAACCTCACTTTTGCCCACACCCACACCAAAAAATCTGCCCATGGAAATGCACTAAACCAGCTACATAAATTATTCTGGAGCAGTTGTTTCAGTAAATTCTCATTTGTGAATGAGGTAAATGAGAGAAGTGGATGGATGGATGGATGGATGGATGGATGGATGGATGGATGGATGGATGGATGGATGGATGGATGGATGGATGGATGGATGGATGGATGGATGGATGGATGGATGGATGGATGGATGGATGGATGGATGGATGGATGGATGGATGGATGGATGGATGGATGGATGGATGGATGGATGGATGGATGGATGGATAATGATCATCATCTTGGAATTGCAGTACTTAACAACCAACCTGGTCATCAGTTATCACACACACAGGCTTGATGTATTTGGAAAGGGCTTATAAAGGTTCAGGGCATGAGTGATGCTGCTGCCAGTAGGACTGTGTTCTGAGCACCAGGGAAAAAAGGGTTTGTTCTCAGTGCAATAAACCCACAATAAAATCAAGGGGACGACATGGCAGTTAATAATTCTCCTGAGCTCATTTATTGATGTGAAGATGATGAAAGCATAGGATTTACCTGGCCTTGCTGACCTAAGTGAAAATGAGCTGCTGCCTCTTTCAGCAGGGCTTTACTGCATGCTAGTTAGCTGGATGGATGGATGGATGGATGGATGGATAATGATCATCATCTTGGAATTGCAGTACTTAACAACCAACCTGGTCATCAGTTATCACACACACAGGCTTGATGTATTTGGAAAGGGCTTATAAAGGTTCAGGGCATGAGTGATGCTGCTGCCAGTAGGACTGTGTTCTGAGCACCAGGGAAAAAAGGGTTTGTTCTCAGTGCAATAAACCCACAATAAAATCAAGGGGACGACATGGCAGTTAATAATTCTCCTGAGCTCATTTATTGATGTGAAGATGATGAAAGCATAGGATTTACCTGGCCTTGCTGACCTAAGTGAAAATGAGCTGCTGCCTCTTTCAGCAGGGCTTTACTGCATGCTAGTTAGCACCACTGCCTCACCTGAGGCAAGCCTAAATCCCAGCTCAGAAAGCCACTGGCAGACTGAAATAGATCTCTCACTGTAAAGTCCTCCTAGACACAAGGCACTATTAATTTGTACTTTGAAATAGCTGGTTGAGATCAGCCCCACGGTTCTCTGCACCTCAGTTAATTAGCTCCAAGTACAGCAGTGTCTTCCCTCCCAAGAGAGTCTATGCAGCCTAACTGAGAAATATACCCCCACCCCTCTAGAAATAAAGGTAAAATACTGATGTATGAAGAGGCAGACAGGAGAGGGGGGTGGGAGGGCATGGCAGCAACAGGCAGCCTGTTCTCCCCGGCAGGGCCAGGCTGCTCGCTGCTCCAGGAGCCACCACGCTGCCATTTCTTTTAAAATGTGTCATTTCAACACTTTCATTTCCCCATCTCACAATTCAGCTTAGAGGAAAAGCAATTGTTTTCCTGGGAAGAGCCATTATGACCCCAATGACAAGCCAAAAAGCCCATTTTTGCAGCAGTGTCTGGAGCCACCTTCTCCTGCCCGCTCTGGGGATCAGCAGCGACGCTGCCACCCCTGCCATTACAGCAATAACCCTGCCAAGAGGAGCTCTCCCCACAACATCTGCCCAGGAGGCCATCTGTAAATCTTTCTGTCACGCAGCCCAGGCTGAGGAAAGGCTGCTGGTGATGCAGAATAAGGCAACAAAAGAGAGGAACTCCGTGGAGTTTATTTTTAGGCTCCTTGGGGTTTGTCATTTGTCATGGGACTCTTGCCGTGGTATTAATACAAGAAAGGCTTCAATGTGTGCCCATGGAGTAACCACAGAGCAAAGCCAAACACTAAACCAATTTCAAAAACCCTTCAGGAGAAAAAAAACCAAACAAAGACCCCTGTTCACCATTTTAAAAAAAAGAAACAACTATAATCAGCCACAGGCAAATGTAAAGGTTTCCTGCTAAATGGTTTCCTACTCCCTCTCAGAGCCTCCAACAAGAGAAGCACTGTCAGAAGACATGACTGCAGCCTTGCAGACAGCAGCCAGCCGTGGTGCATGGGAAGCAGAGGGTGCCCGTGGCCCTGGCTGGGATGGAGGGGCACCTCTGCTGGCTGGAGCCACAAGCCCTGCGTCAGGATCCGGATTTCACTGCAGGCACCAACCTGGGCTCATTGTGCAGCAGCACAAAGCAGCCCTTGTGCAGGAGCAGGCAGGACCTGCCGTGCTCTCGCTGCCTCTCTTTCTGTGTTTTAAAAGGCTATTACAACTATCAACACAGGATATGAGCTGATATCCAGACTGGTTAAATGCCAAAGGTCCAATGATGGTCCTCAGAATGGGAGGTAGGCTGGCTGTTATCCTGGAATCCTGGAGGCTGTTGCTAAGCCTGTCGGGGCGATGTGGAACTGTAAGAACACAAACACATCCTGGTACAGAAGCCTCACTCAAGGATGCACAATGTTCATGTGAAAGGTCTGAGCCTTTCATGGGTGATTATCGAGCTGTTTTGGACAAATTCCTATGTGGAAGGATGGATGAGGCTCTGCCATTTAAATACACCCCAGGTTATGTCTTGTCTGCACAGCCCTGCAGCTCTGAATGAGACCGCAAGCGAGGGGCCAGCTGGGCCAGCTGCTGTCATGAACTGAACTGCTGTCAGGAAAGACTCCAGAGAAAGGGAAACCAGAGCTTCACTATCCTCTTCACAGGGTGAGAAAAGTGCCATCCAACAGGGGTTTTATTCACCACCAGCACTGCCCATGTGGAAAGCCAGACCTAGAGTACAGTTCAGCTATCATTTGTCAGACCATTTACTGTTGTTTCATGTGTCTGATGGTCCTTTTCCTTGCAACCTCTGTTCTCCTTCCTGAGCTGCAGAAACCACAGCAGCTTTCCAGTTTCTCTTTGCTTCTCTCTGCAGTTCATTCCATCTCTGAGACTCTTCTCAGAGACTTTTATGGGGCCTTTTACACAAAGGCAGGAAGGAACTCGGACCCCAGGACCATCCTCGTGGAGGAACGAGAGATGGGTGAGAGGAAACAGGAGGCTCCTCACCTTCCTGGTTACAGCTGGGTCCAGATAGCCCTTCAACTTCTGGATGTATGTGTGTGGAGGGTTCTTCACTTGAAATCTTTCCTGTGAAGGACACAAGAATAAACATCAGCTATTTTAGAACATCTGTATTTCCTTACTATACGTCTAAAACGCATGCACACACGTATCTATTTAAACAGTACAGAGTTATAATATTGCTTTATATGTACATATATTCATAAATATTCTATGCATATACAGTATGCATGCAAATAAAATATGTTTACATGTACCTTGATATTCTGCAATTTGGTATTTATGCAGGATGTGTAAAAACAGACCTTACATATTCAATGACAATTCTAAATTCTAGTTACACATACAAACACACACACCTGAAACAAAAGGGTTTCTGCTGCTCAGGAGTACTGAGAGGACAGAGAAGTGTTAGAAGAGCAGACACATGTCCATGGTTGATTGAAAGCCATCACCACAAAAGCCAAGACACCTTTTTTATCAGTTACAGCAAGCCTAAAAACATGGGGGTTTTATCTCTACCAACGCCATTTGCATGGGGACAGCACTGGTGGTTGAGCTTGTTCCAGCCATCCACAGCTCCTGAGACTCAGAGGGTTTCCTTCCACACCTGTGTCACACGAGGGCAGAGCTGAGGGATCTCCAGCATGGTGGGCAACAAGCCAGCAAGTGCTACCAAGAACACTGGCAACACTTACCAGGGACATTATGGACCAGATGTCCATGTCCATCCCAGTGAGAAAGCCTGGGAACCACCTTGTACCTCTCCTCCCTCAGAGATTGGAGTCTTACCAGCCTCAAGAGAGGGAGGAAGGCAAGTATCCTCCATGGTGGGCTTTACCCATGTAAAACACTTCATCACCCATGCCTGCTTGCCTGCTTTCTGTCCTACACCAGCAGCATGCCTGGTTTCCCCTGCCCATCTCACCCACCTCCTGCCAGCCCAGTGCCAAGAAATTCCCACCTGCCTCCAAGACAACTTTCTCCCCAAAGGCTTCCCAACACCCACCCTTGCAGTGGGCCATACAATCCACAATCCAGCACCAGCCACATTCAGAACTGAATTAAAGAGTCTGAAGATGAATATAAGGTCTGCAAAGTTGGTGTTCTGAGAGCTGCTTGACTTTTGCTTCCTTTTTTTACCAGTTGCACAGCCAGCTTGGAATTTACTCTACAAAGCTGCTGTGAAACATGCTCTGGGAGGACTCTGCTGAGTCCAAACCTGTTAAGAGCATTACCAAAAGTTCTGATACTATTTCTATCTTGGAATAATTTTAAACTATTCTGCCCTTTCCCTTGAGGAAAGATCTCATAACAATTTCCTCCTAAAATTTCACATTTTATAACTGATATCTGAAACCTCCCTTTATTAGGTCAGGATGCAATTTTGACTACATTTTTGAAAGTTATTTCATAATGACTAGTACACTGCTGCCCAGTTACCAGAACATACTGTCTGAGCACCAAAAGTTGTTCCTGTCATTATCTTGCTGCTTGCAGTAAAAATAAATATTAAAAAAAAGTAATTCATCATGGTCAGAAGGAAAAAATGAACTAAAAAAAAATCTGCCCCGTGGTGCCCAGAGCTCTGTAAGACAGACAGAGACATCTCTTTCCTCTTTTACAACTCGCTTTTTTTTCCATGCACCTTCAAAGTGCAGGCAAAGCACAGTCCTGGAACTTGGTATTTCTTTTTTGATCTAAAAAACAGTTCAGGAAAGAAAGTTCTTGGTTGGCAGCTCGTCCCTGGCCAAAGTGCCACCCCAGGGTGTCTGTGCCCCCATCCTTGCCCAGCACCATGCCCACTGCCTGGCTTGCTCTCTGCCACGGGTGCTTGGAGCCAGGCTCACCTCTGCCAGCTCCACGGGTCAGACAGGCCCTTTCACACCCTTCTACTGCAATTTGCTGTTAATTGGAGCTGCTGTCTCTGTGCTGGGAAGCACAGATACACCGAGTTACAGGCAGGTCTGGGAATGGTGTGTGCCAAGGCTCCAGCACGTGGCTCCACCAGCACAAGCAGAAATCATCTGCCACATCCCCAGAGGTGTGCAGTGGGCAGCCCCAGCACCCAGCTCTTTGGAAGAGGGAAGCAGGAACACCCACAGATGTTGATAGGGACTTGAAAGGAAATTTTAAATAAAATACCCACAAAAAAACCCCCATGAACAAAAATCCACACACACACAAAATATATCAGTGAATAGAATAGAGTAGAACACAAGACAACACAACAGAAGAATAGAATAGAATAGAATAGAATAGAATAGAATAGAATAGAATAGAATGCAACACAACACAATCCTGCAGTTGGAAGGGATCCACAACAACCATCTGCTCCAGCTGCCTAAGTACCATAACTGCTAGCTTATTTTTTGCAATTTTTATAGCCCACTGTTGGGCCAGTTTCTCAGTCAGACTTACAGCCCCCTGAGGATGCTGTGGGCTTTACAGTGGGCATAAATATAAGTCATTTAGAAATCATTTCAGTCCATGAACCCACTTGAAAACTCTTCACAGACAAAAAAAAAAAAAGGCACTTTCTGTAAAGGAGAATCTGGTCCATCACACCACTAGAGGTATCTGGACCTCAGAGACCACCACCACTTCTCATTTTCCCCCTCAACAGGTTTGTATTAGCTCCAGAGACACTGCAGCACTTGAATAACCATGTCTTTCTCACAAAAAAACCCTGAAGGCAGAAGTTTTTTCACTGTGCCACTTGAATCCCACATCCAAATACTGTGCTTTGCACCTGCAGGTGATGGGGGAAAGTGGGGGAGCACCAAGCTGAAGGTCCACTCCTGAAGGGTGGTGGGTGATGTGAGAGTGTGAGGGAGGCACAGAAGGAGCCTGCTCCCCCTGACAGCTGAGTCCCAGACCATCGAGGTCCACGTCAGCTCTCAGATTTATTCCTCCCCAGTTTGGGGTTTCTCTCATACCATGCAGCACTGCTGTGCTCAGTCTAACCCTCTAGAGAAGCTGTTTTATTCTTACAGATTTATTTCTCTCCCTAAGTAATCAGCCATCATCTGCCAAAGTGACAGGAGCTTTTCCTAACTGCCAGTTTTTATATCTGGAGCCTTCAAAATGAAATGCCTGAAGAGGCTCCAGGAGCACATTTACTGGTCTGTGATGCACATACTGTATTTTTGTTTGTTTTCTGAAAACCTAGCTGTAATTATGTATTTATGCAATCATCCCTACAGTTACTCCATTAAAAAGGCTGCTGCTTATTACTGTGCAAGGATTATTTGGGTTAAAGGATTTCAGAAACATTATCCATGACCAGCAGACACCAGCAAAGCTCTTCTCTTAACTAGCAGCTGAGAGCCACTTGTGGTAAAAATCTGCTAGTCCTGGGAACATTTTTATGGCCCCTCAAAGTGTTGTTGTTTTGGTTTTTTTTCCTGCTTTGGAAAGCCATGAGAGATCAGCCTTTAAAACTGCCCTTTCCTGGCTATGATTACTGCCTCAGTTCATCCAGCTTTGACTGTTTGATGTGAGAGGCTGATGCTCCCTAAGCTGCAGGGAGCAGGGCTGGGTGCTGTGCTGCCCAGGACACCCTGAACTTCTGCCTGCAGCCACTGTCCTCCCAAAGACCTGAGGTCTGCCAGGGCTCACAGGGGGTGCCAGGGGCTGGTGCTCATCTGATCAGCATGACTGCAGCCTGGTATTTTACTTGCCATGAATGCTACCAGTGGCCTCTCCAGGTTGGCCAGCCCACATTCTCTCAAGGTCACAGAATAGAATCACAGCCTGGTTTGGGTTGGAAAGGACCTTAAAGGTCATCCTGTTCCAACCTCCTTCGTGGGCAGGGACACCTCCCACCAGCCCAGGCTGCTCCAAGCCCCATCCAACCTGCCCTTCAACACTGCCAGGGATGGGGCAGCCACAGCTTCCCTGGGCAACCTGGGCCAGGCTCTCACCACCCTCACACTGAAGAATTTCCTCCTAATATCCAATCTAAATCTCCCCTTTTTCATCTTAAACCCTTTCCCCCTCATCCTGAAACTACTGAAAGGACATTGTAGAGAGACAGGTGTTGGTCCCTTCTCACAAGTAAATATTGATAGGACAAGAGGGAAGGGCCTAAAGCTCCACCAGGGGAGGTTTAAGCTGGACATCAGGAAAATGTTCTCTGGAAGTGTTGTCAGACATTGGAACAGGCTGCCCAGAGAGGTGGCTCAGTCACCATCCCTGGATGTGTTTAAAAGTCATACAGATGATTGTGCTTGGGGATATGGTTTAGGGGTGAACATAGTAGAGTAGGGTTAAAGGTTGGACTTCATGATCTTAAGGATCTTCTCCAACCTAAATGATTCTATGATTTTCTGATCCTATCACTCCCTGTCCTTGCCAAAAGTCCCTCCCCAGCTTTCCTGGAGCCCCTTCAGGCACTGGAAGGTGCTCTAAGGTCTCCCTGGAGCCTTCTCTTCTTCAGGCTGAACACCCCAACTCTCCCAGCCTGGCTCCAGAGCAGAGCTGCTCCAGCCCTTGGATCATCTTCGTGGCCTCCTCTGGACTTGCTCCAAGAGCCCTGTCTTGAAGGTCCTCTGGACCTTCCTGTAGAGACAAACACACTTCCCAGCTAACATCAAGGCACTGCTGTTCACACATGATCCTCTTGCCTTATGTACCATAAATAACGAGTTAAAAAATATTGCTTTTTCCTGTCTGCTCCTCCTCTCCACTTCCGGCAATTTGCAACCACTCACTGCCAAATCTGCTTTCAAAATAGGAATTTATATGGCCAGGGCTTTACCACTGTTTGAACGAGGAGGTTGGGGAGTTTTACCACACATGATTAAAGTTCTAAATCCCTACTTGAGTCTCCAGACTCCTCTGAGCAAAAAGCAGAAGGAAGTGGGTGACATCACAACTAGGACATGGTGGCTTTCCCTCCTGGTCTCCCCAGGTCTGGGCTGTTCAGACACAACAAAGTTAATAAATCCTGATGAAATCTGGTTTATCTGCCCTACGTGACTCACAGAAGCACCAACACTATCTCCAGCCCTGAAAGGAGGCAGGCACAGACCAGCAACAAGTCGACCCTGCCCCTGTCAGCCACCTAGAAAGCAAACTAACTCAATTTCCCAAGGATAAAAGGCCCTTTCTTACTTGGAAAAATTGCTGAGGCTCTAAGCCAGAACCAGAGGCAAATGCAAGAAGTCAGAGGCAGCAGAGCAGGGAGGTGACCTGGTCCCCAGCACCTCCTGTTAGGGTAATAAATGATAAGAATTCAGGAAAAAAGCTGCAATGGGAGAGCACAACATCACTGCTTCTCTGACCAGCAACCTCCAGAATTAGCACTTTTCTTCTCCTGATGGTTGTAAAAACTAAAGAGGGGGCTGGGGGGGCTTATTTCAGCAGCAAAGAGGAACTGCTGGACTTCTGCATTTCCTCTTCCATGTGTTCCTGCAATGACCACCACACATCTCCTGTTCTCCCAAATCTGGAACACGCATTAATCCCGTTACCAGGAAACTGTGGCTTTTCCAGAGATCTTTTCCTTCCAAAAACATTCAGGACATTTTCTGCACTAGTGACATATGTTAGTATTATTATTATTATTATTATCATTGCCCTCGTAACCTATTTCAGTCTCAGGATTCACACACATCAGGTAAGCACATAGCACATCCCATCCCACCCCACACCTGGGGCTGTCAGGAACCCCAACAGGGATCCCACTTCAGCTCCATTTTTGTCTCCTTAGGAGAATGATCTAACCACTACAGCCAATGTTGAACCACAGTGCCAATGTCTGAGAGTCCCTCTGTGATTCCAGCAGATACCCTTCTCCAGGCTACCCCCCAGTGCTGCCTTTCTGACAGTCTCATGTCACCCCACCAGGTTCCTGAGCTTGGGCTCCCCCACAACCATGCTGACTGTCCAGGCAGGGACCCCAGGCTCCCCTCCCCACCCAGGGGAAGGCCACAACCTTCTCACCTGGGGCCACGTTTCCAACAGCAGCCAACAACAGTTGAAACAAACCCTGAAGCAGGACATGGCACCCAGTCAACACACCTTCTCTGGGGTGCAATTACCCCCAGCACAGGCACAGAGGGGCCCAAGCCCAGGAAGCCAAGCAGAGGGGTAGAAAATAAGCCCCTCCTGGGGAAGCTGCTGGAGAAACCCACTGCCATCCCAGCCAGCTCCTGCCTTCACTGGGAGCTTCATTAGGAAAGGGAGAGAGTTCTACAAACACCCCAGTGAGGATATTTGGGATGTAAACCACTTGACTTCCACGTTGAGTCCCTTAACTCACTATTTATTCACCCCGAACACTTCCAGTGTATCCAAAGGTGCAGGCACAGTGATGCCCCTGCCACAATTTGCCATTAGAGGGCAACGAAGAACTTTGTAGGATGGCCCCAACCAGGCCCTTGACATCCTTGCCCTCTCTGTAACACTGGATAAAGAGGCCTAGAGCACATCAGAAGGGTGGCCATGCCAGGAAACTGCATGCTCTTCCCAGCCTGGTCCTTCCCAAGTCAACCTCCAGCTGACCCACTACTTGGGCCTCTCCAGGATGGGCACCATGAACACTGGCTTTGCTCTTCTCCTCCTCCTTGCATGCTGAGCCAGAGAGGGAGGGAGGAAGGTTTCCAGACAGCAGCAGCAAGGCTCAGATGATTTGCTGGATTCACAGGTGAAGGAACAGAAAATACCACATGGGTTGAGTGCCCTACAACCAGGCCAGAAACCCTTAAGACATTCCACTGGAATGGGCACAATCCTACTCATGGCAGATTGATGATGATAAGGATAATAATAATATCATCACTCTCATCAGACTGGTAGCTTCTTACTTTCATTAATCTTCCACTTCTGCAAAAGCAGAAGGTCCTTTTGGGGCCCAAACTCTCACCTCTAATATTCTCAACGTATTTCAAAGACAAATGGCCAGGGCCTGCTTTATAAACTGTGTGGAAAAAACATCATTCAAGAGCAACCTCTGAGCTCTTTTTCATTTCAGACATAAGCTGGAAACCAGCACAGGAGAGTGAGAGTTAATTTCTTCACACTGCTACATTAATTTACATCCTCAGTCCTTCAACAAGCAAAAATGGGTGAAAATGCTGTAATGGGTGATACCAATAGAAAACAGCAGTTAAAATTTGCATCCACACTGAAAACATGCGTTCCGAACCAAATGTATTCCTGGAAGTACTTGGAGCCATGCACTGTAATTATGTGGACAGCTAGAAATATTTCACACCCCATATGCTGCCTGACAGTGCTTTTGCAGACACCTGCTTCCTGCTGCTCTAATTCATAGAAATACATCATAGACTCATCTGGTTGGAAAGGACCTTGAAGATCACCAAGTCCAACCACAACCTACATCCACCAACCATAACCTGATCTACCCCTTCAGTGCTTAAATCATGTCCCTCTGCACCACATCTACATTTCCTTTAAACACTTCCAGGGATGGTGGCTCCACCTGACTCCACCACCTCCCTGGGCAGCCTGTTCCAAGCACCCCTTGGGATGCCAGGGGGGCTGGGAGCTGCCACAGATCACAGATACACAGCTCAGCCCCTCAGATGGCTGGACCCTGGAGGGGTGGCCCAATGTCACCTCCCATCCTGCCAGGCCCCTCACAGTGCTGGCTACAGTCACCCTGCACTGCTTCCCTGCCTGCCCTGGCCAAGCCATGGGAAGCAGACTCATCCCAAGGCAGGAGTGGAATCAGGGTTGTGAAAGAAGCCATTAAGTGCAAATTTCCTTCTCTGTCTTTTCCATCTGCTCATCCCTCTTATCTTGCTGAGGAGCTGAGGAGTGAATCAGCAGCAGCTGCATCATGAGAAGGGTGGATCCTGCTGAGGTGGGAGTTTGCACATCCAGGCTGTGATCTACCTGCCCTTACCTGTGATCTACCTGCCCCTGCCTGTGATCTACTTGCTCCTGCCTGTGATCTACCTGCTCCTCCTGTGATCTACCTGCCCTTACCTGTGATCTACCTGCCCCTGCCTGTGATCTACCTGCCCTTACCTGTGATCTACCTGCCCCTGCCTGCCCCGCTGCCAGCTTGGTGCACAGACAGCACCCAGGCTCCAGCACCCAGCTCACACTTAGCCCTGCAAGTTCCAAGGGTGCCCAAGCTAAGTGAACACCCACGAGACAAATCACTTCCAGCAGATCAAGCAATTTGTCTCTCACTAAACCGAAACTTTAAATAGCTTTATGTTCTCAGCACGGAAACCTCATGGGGGGGGGAAAAAAAAAAAAGGCAAGAACTTCTTCATTCAGCTTCAGTTTAAGGTAGCTGGGTTCTGTCAGAGGCTCTAACAGCTAAATAGGAAACGTCCCACAAATCTATTCATTAAAATGTTCCTGACCTCACAGCACGACTGAACCTTCTGGCAAAGTCCCCTCCTGGTACCACTGCGTTCACACTCCAAGGAAACATCCTCCTCAGTCCTAGATCCGTTCTCATTAACAGTTACTTCTGAAGTTTATGGCAGAACCTGATTTTGCTGCTGGCTCACAAACGCACACCCCACCTTCTGCATGCTTCACGTTCCCTAAATCATGCAGTTTCTGCTCGTCTGCCACAGCAGAGCCAACCTGTCAATGGTTCCACGTTGCTGCCCAGTCTGGGCGCCACGGCAGAGCTTGGGCACAAAAGGTGCCTCAGGTTGTTGTTCAGCCTCTGGAGGAGTTCAGACATCCCCAATGTGTGTCCCTGAAGACAACAGCTGCCCCCAGCTGAGGTGAAAAGCCAAATACTTGCTGGATCAGGCTGTTCATTCAGGCCAAGACAGACCCAACTCATGAGAAGGTTCAGCCCCTTCAAGTCTGTGCTGCCCAACACGGAGCAGCACCCACCGCCCAGAGGAAACGGGTGATGTTAGCAGCAGAGGGGAAAGAAATGTCACTCCGTGGCAAAACCACGGAATGATGATTGCAGGGCTCCTACGAGCTGTAACCAACCATGGAGCACAAGGCCGTGCCTGGCGAACGCACGAGGCGAACGCGCGTCCGAGGCCACTCAACCCCTCGTCCCCTGCCAGGTCCCTTCCTCAGCTGACAAAACCCAGCCGGTGCCCTCGGCGGGGTGTCTGGCAGAAGCCCTGCTGGCCGGGCCTTACCTGGTCACAGATGAGCTCCCACTTCTTCTCGTTGTCGTACTGCCGCAGCAGCCGGGCCTTGTCGGGCGGCAGGTTCATGGCGTTCTGTGGGGAAGGAGAAAGCAGGCGTGAGGGACCTCGGAGGGCTCGGGGCTCAGGCAGAGCCAGGCACGAGCAAAACCAACGAGGCAACGCGGCTGCGGTTGCTTTAATTGTTTTATGTGAGTTCCCGTCGACAGGGCTTATTTGGAAACGTTCCCTCTGAATGTCATCTTTGGCCCCAAAAGCGCCGGGGGAGCGCGAGGCGCCGAAGGGCAGGGCTCGGTGCTGGGCCACGCCGGGACGCAGAGGAGGAGGTGGGCAGCCTGAGCTCAGCACCCTCGGGAGGAGAGGATGGGGCTTCCCCGTGTCACAGCATCCACCTCCCACCTCAGACAGGTCCGCACGGTGCCTCGCATCCCCTCTCCCCTCCGCCCGCCCGCGGCTGAGCGCGCTCCTGCAGGACGCACACGTTCCAGCCGTGGGCTGGGGGCTGCAGGAGGCCTGTTCCCTCCAAACAAGATGCTGGAACACCGTTTTGTTTCAACAGTGGGACACCACTCGGGTTTTTAAACGTCACTGCAGCACAGGGATCCCAGCCGGACGTGCACATGCAGATAACGATCCCGAGACTGCAAATGACAACCTGCAGGACCGAGTCAGAAGGCAGGGAGGGGCAGCAATTAGATGATGCCTATCGTTAGCTGGCTCCTTTGATGTCAGCTGAGATACCTTTCCACGGGCAGCTGTCTGGGCTAGGGTGGCACAGCCCAGCTGCTCGCTCCCGAGGCAGGTTTCCCAAGAGCTGTGTCCCCATAACTGTCATGCTTGTGCTCCCAGAGAGCCCAGTAACACCTCGAGAGCTTCACAAGCACCCAGTCTGGAGAGCTTCCCTATCAGCCCAGGGGCAAGGTGAAGGTGCCGAATAAAAAACCCGCTAAGCAACTCTCCAGCCCAAATTCCCAGTCCCACAGAGCTACCCCCAATTAACCCTTCAGGACACAGCTCCTGACCCAGCTCCCTCACAGCTGAGGTTTCACATTTCCCTCTCGCTGGGCTCTCTACGCGAGCAGCCTGGGCTGGGATCTGGGTGGGCTTGGGCAGGATCCTGGAGCAGACGTGGCATTATTCCTGCCTGCAGGCAGCAGGAGGAGTCCTCAGAGGCTGCTGCAGCCTTCTAGGAACAGCAGCTCACATCCCAAACACTGTCCTTCAGCATCTCTGGTGTGACAGCCAATGGTTCTCAGCAGTGACACTGCAGACCCTCGAGGGACCCCTCTGGTGCACTTGTTCCTCCTGGTCCATGCAGGACCACCAAGGGGGGGGTGAGGACAGCAGGGTCCTGAGCCCATCTCACTGTCTGCAGATGTACTTGCTATGGTCCCACCAGACTCATCTCCCTCCAACCCAGCTGACAGCACCCCCAGCTGCTGCCATGACTGCTCTTCCCAAAGCTTGTTTTCCATCAGATAACAAATACTCTTCCTTTTGCTCATCTGTGCTGTCATGTTGTCAGTATTTACAGGCTGCGATGATATCTGCGCTTGATTCTCCTCTCAGTCTCTCACCATGCACCTTATCAGTTCTACTTATCATTTTCATGCACTTCTTGGTATTTTTTCCTGGGGCTTTTTCCAAGCACCATTCCTTACCTCTGAGGATGCAAACATGTTTCACAGCCAGGCTCAATCTCAGCTGAAGGAAAAGCTTCCCCGCGTACCTGCAGCACACCCTGTGCCTAACTCTGATCTTCTTACAGCTAATCAGCTTCCCCAGCCAGGCTGGTGCTCGGACAAGCAACCTGCCTGGAAACCTATGCAGGATTGAGTCATGGCAAGAGTTCTGCACGGATGAAAGCCTGAACCAGGGAAAACAAGACCCAGGCAGCAGGTTCCAGTGATCTTATTTTTGAAACGAACTGAATCCGATCTAATTCCGAAGCGGGAACCCCTTCGCTGCGCGTCGCTTTGCTGCACATCACCCTTCCAGGCACTGCAATGCACTTCAGGTGCCCCCTGCCCTGGTCTCACAGGGAAAACTATTTATGAATGCATTGTGTGCAACCGGGTTCAAATCCCTGAGTGTAAACAGTGGGTGATTTGCTTGCTAATCTCAGTAAGAGATTTAAGGCAGTTTTGAAACCTCCTGGTGTGCGAGTCCGTGACCCGCTGTGGACAGGACCCTCCCTCCCCTGAGGGAAACCACAGCAGGTCACCATCCCAGCAGCCCCTCCAGCCCCTTCCTTCATCTCTTCTGGTGGAAAATGGGAAGGAAACTGCTACTGCTGCTGTCTGCTGTCCCTCTGGCCTCATCATTCATGTGGTAAGGAGGGAATGCACTTGGACCAGGGCTTTTCATGCTGGCACGGTCAGCTCGACATTAACTTTTATGTTTTATACATAAACCAGTTTGAAAGGCTTTCTTAGTAACTGGATCAAATTGCACTCATTTACTGGAAACTACTGCAAGAGGTTCTCACTCACAACCTGAGCCTCCCCGTTTGCCATGAAGGTTTGTTTTGCACCACTCACACCCCTCTCCCTATCTATGAGCCATCCATCTCCTGAGCCCCTGGAGCTCCTGGCCCTTCAGCTTGGCTCTCCTGCAGTCCCCAGACCAGTGTCCCAGCACACCTGATGACCCTGCTCAACGTACACCCTAAGCAAAGCAAACAAATGACCCTTATGCCTTTGTACAAAATAAGGCAGGTGTAGATCACACCTTCTCTAAAACCTGGACTAATGCTGTTCTTCAACAGCTCTTAGGGTCAACAACCACTCCCTGCTGGAAAACTAGTTTCTAAACCATCATTTTTTTTACTTAAATGGGAAGCAATATATTTTCATTATGCTCACGCATGGCTCTATACCAACAGGCTCTCTGGAATCCAAGTGTACTGTATCTAATAGCATCACCTTCAGCTGCTGCACCAGTAACTATGGCAAAGAAGGCTACTGAATTGGCTTGGCTCAGTCTGACCAGTTGCAATAGTTTTGACTCCAGTCATAACTACCCAGATGCATTAGCAGTCTGGAATTCTTGCTCTCTGTGGATCAGTGAAATGACTCACCAATGTCTCCTGGCCACTTCAGCTCTTAGGATATGGGCTTCACACATACTAGCATTTTATAGCTACCTACAGGGCCATGGCCTGTGATTTCTCTTGCCATCTTCACCCTAATTAGAATTCATGCTTTGAAGGCTTTTGATAGCATAACTATTCCACTCCTGATACAATCTAAATCCCTGCTGTTGCTAGAAGGGATAGCCCTACTCTCTCCTCTTCTGCTTGTGTCCCCAGCCAGCTTGTCCCTTACCTTGAGTCACCACCAGCACTTGGGTAGCTGGAGCCCTTTTCCAGCAGAGCAGACTCTGACCAGCTCAGGAAGAAGAAGTGCACCTTTACACTGAATACCCATCTTCCACCAGGATCTCATCCTGGGCCATAAAACCCCTTTTCTTTTAGTGGCAACAGCAGCAGAAGCAGCCCCACTGCCTGGCACCCCACAGCTCTGCATCCCCATCCCCACCTGGCCCTCCCAACACACCTGTATGGCTCACGTTGACCATGATCTGGATTAGAAACAACTGCTTCTGGTCAAGCTGTTTGTAATTCCAGCCAGTGCCACGAGTCCAACAAGCTGTATGGTGGCACAAACTGGGGGGCTGCTGGGGCCCTGTGTGGGGGTTTTTGCCCCTCACACCCTGTCTCTACCCCAGGTCACACAGCCCTTTGTGCAGCGCTGATGCCCACCAGCCTGGGCTTAGCACCTGCCCCCAGGTGAGCTCCACAGCTCTGCTCCACTCCCTCCTCAGGCCAGCAGTCCCACCTTCCTCACCACGCTGCAAACACCCACTAAGGGCACACGGCTTCCAGGAGGGAGAAGCAAACCTTGTGGCACGTCATCCTGCCTCCAGGCCTGCCAGGTGACAGGAACTACGTGGACACCAACGCTCCACAGCCTCCAAGCAAGGATTCCCACTCCTCAGGAACTCCCACCAACACACCCCAAGAGCACTGCTCTCCACAGGAACTGCAGCCAGATCCTGCACAGCCTCGTGCCGTCTGCGAGGGCTGGTTTCTAATCATGTTTTGGCTCCCAAAACACGTCGCTTCTCTTTTTCCCCACAAATTCCACAGTTATTCATGTCTACTGCTACGTGCCAAGCAATATAGGTAAGGTTTCCATTCCGTTTGCTCCGGGTTGGTGTTATGAAGCTAGAACTTCAATTAATCACAGGAGCAGATGGAAAACGGGGAGAAATTCTAGCAGACCTACAAAATATTAAATGGCTTAAGAGTTAAAAATAAAACCAACAGCACATCAAGGAAATACATGTATTTTTAACCTATGAAACAAAGCCCAGCTCTGTCCAAACTGGCAGCCTCAACAGAGTCTCTGCAGCAGGGCCAGATGACTTGGCAGTGCTCTGTACCAGGACACCTCAAGATTTAGCCTCATCCCCAGGAGATTATTTCAGTTCACAACTGACCACGTTCTGCACCATCTACTCTGACCAGCTGGCTTGCTGGTTGCAACCTTCTTACCTCCCTCCTCCACAAGACCCCACATAAAAGCAGTTTCAAGTTCAGTTTTGAATTGGCAGAGCAGCTGCATTTCCTACAGGAACTGCACAGCCTCCCTTCCCACTGGCTGGCACTACAATCTGGTTTTGTAAACCCATTTGCACGGGTTGGGCACCAGCAGCACCACAGTGATCAGCTTCACCTTCGAGCCTGGTGCTTGGGGGCCTTGCACACCATCCCCTTCCACAGAAAACAGGGGCACTGGCTGGACACCTCTTGCCAGCATTATCCAGAGAAAGAAGCTAAAATAGCAGCTACACACTGCAGAGGGACAGAGCACCCACCTGGCTGAGTTTATTCACATGCCAGAAATACCACAACTCCAGCAGCGCCTGCGGTTTGGCCGAGGAAAGGACCAGCAAGGAAGTGCAGGCTGGAATGGCAGACATGGTGACAGCAGCATCAGCACCACATGCAGGATGCTCATGCTGGGATGACTGAGATGTATTTTTTCCAACCTATTCCTCATCTT